ATAAGAAAAAACTGAGTCAAATCAAGTATTTCAAGAATCTTACCAAGTAAAATGTTCTTACTTAATTCACTGCAGCAGACACTGAAGGCTCCGGTCGTAACCGATGTGCTTTTATTTTGAAACGATGACGGATACGGAAGCTCAGCTTCCGGTGTGGCCACCGCCCACCCTGTTGGTCAGCTGACCGTCGGTCGGTCTGCAGACTGTCAAACAAGAAGCTCCAGGCCGAACCCAGACCCGGAACCCCCCGCTTCTGGAGCCGCTAACCCCGGAGGGACTGCCTCCAGACGCCCCGCGCTGATAGCCGGAAGCCGGATCTCTTTGGTCCGAACACACCCGTTCTGTTCCGGTTCTCCGCTGAGTCCGGGTCAACGAGTCGAGTCCACCCGTAGCCCGTGGGAGCCGAGGCGGCCGTCAGAGCCCGGCAGCTCCCCCAGGAGCCCCACCATGGCCCCGCTGGATGTCGCCATGCAGGGCCTCGCGTTGTTCGGCTTGGTTCTGTTCGCCGTGCTGTGGTTGATGCACTTCATGTCCATCATCTACGTGTAAGTAGAGCTAAGCTAAGCTAACGGCTTCCTGTTGACACCAGCCCATGTTTTAGTTCGGCTCCAGGTCGACCTGAAACACCAACCCGGCGGCTCTTCGGCGGCTCTCTGCCGGTCTGACAGCCGGGACTGGCCCGGCCCGGGTCGGACGGTTAGCTGCGGGAACTCCTCTGTGTTAACCGCTAGCCGGCGGACGTTAGCCCCGACAGGAAGCTAACAGCTCTCAGGTCGGTTCGCTGCTACATCACAGGACAGTGGCTCATAATTACTAATTGATCTAAATGACCGGCAGGAGTGTTTAAAGTGGAGTTAAAATGAGTTTAATCCGTTTTACCTGTCACTTTCTGTGGGTTTTTATCAGAATCGTCACGGTCTGAAGCTTTAGCTCCGTCAGTTTCCTGTTTCCTGAGTTTTCACAGAATCTCATTCAAAAACCAGCAGATTTAAAGATGTTTTCTTCTGGACTCCAGCTTTTATTAATAAATATAATTAATTGTGATTTTTTTGTAAACTGACTGAGTAATTCTTTAGTTCGGCAGAAATCCAGCTGGTTATTTTGTAATAAACTTCCAGATATTTGAGTTATTAACGGGTTATGACGTCACTGAGTGGATGTGTTTGGACGGGGAGAGATCAGGGATTGTGTCAGACCGGCAGCAGAACCAGTTCTTGGTTCTGTGGATCTCGTTTCTGCTCAGGTTCAAGATGTTGAACCTGGACCTGTTCCCTCCTGGGTTTCCTGGTTCTGGAGATAACCTGCACGTTTCATGGGTGGTGTCACCGGGTCTTCAGGTTCTGCAGAACTCATTAGTAGGAACTGGCTCATTTGGCGCCACAGAACCATGAAGCTGCTGGATTCCTCTGGACCTTCAAAGGTCCAGACTGGTTCAGGGTTTAAACAGTTATTAAGAGCTTTGAAGAGATTAGGGGTCTGGGACCACCTGGGACCACCTGACCCGGCTGCAGAGTTCCTTTCAGCTCTGACAGGATGTCTGGGAGTCAGGAGACTGAGTCAGGCTTTGGTTCTGTGCCCTCTGATTGGCTCACAGCTCGGACTCTCAGCCAATCAGAAGGCTGGTCTCAGCTGACCTTTGACCTCTGTGTTCCAGGCGCCTTCACATGCATAGGAAGAGGTCAGAGGTCAAACAGCCGTTCCCCCAGGTGCCCGGGGTCTCTCTGCTGAAGCCTCTGAAGGGGGTCGACCCAAACCTCATCTCCAACCTGGAGACCTTCTTCACGCTGGACTACCCCAAGGTGAGGAGAACTGACCAGACCTGGACCTGGACCAGGGTCCTCTCACAGGCCCAGACCCTGGTCTGCCCCCAACCTTTACAGGCTTTTATAACGAGGGTTTTAATTAACTCTAACTCAGGTGTGTTTTCAGTAAGTCAGGTGTGTCAGGTGTAACTCAGGTGTGTCAGGTGTAACTCAGGTGTGCCAGGTGTAACTCAGGTGTGTCTCAGGTGTGTCTCAGGTGTAACTCAGGTGTGTCAGGTGTAACTCAGGTGTGTCAGGTGTAACTCAGGTGTAACAGCTGTGCCAGGTGTAACTCAGCTGTGTCAGGTGTAACTCAGGTGTAACTCAGGTGTGTTTTCAGTAAGTCAGGTGTGTCAGGTGTAACTCAGCTGTGCCAGGTGTAACTCAGCTGTGCCAGGTGTAACTCAGGTGTGTCAGGTGTAACTCAGGTGTGTCAGGTGTAACTCAGGTGTGTCAGGTGTAACTCAGCTGTGCCAGGTGTAACTCAGGTGTAACTCAGGTGTGTCAGGTGTAACTCAGGTGTGTTTTCAGTAAGTCAGGTGTGTCAGGTGTAACTCAAGTGTGTCAGGTGTAACTCAGGTGTGTCAGGTGTAACTCAGGTTTGTCAGGTGTAACTCAGGTGTTATAGCTGTAACTCAGGTGTTATAGCTGTAACTCAGGTGTAACTCAGGTGTGTCAGGTGTAACTCAGGTTTGTCAGGTGTAACTCAGGTTTGTCAGGTGTAACTCAGGTTTGTCAGGTGTAACTCAGGTGTAACTCAGGTGTGTCAGGTGTAACTCAGGTTTGTCAGGTGTAACTCAGGTGTGTCAGCTGTAACTCAGGTGTAACTCAGGTGTTATAGCTGTAACTCAGGTGTAACTCAGGTGTGTCAGGTGTAACTCAGGTGTGTCAGGTGTAACTCAGGTGTGTCAGGTGTAACTCAGGTGTAACTCAGGTGTGTCAGGTGTAACTCAGGTGTGTTTTCAGTAAGTCAGGTGTGTCAGATGTAACTCAGGTGTAACTCAGGTGTGTCAGGTGTAACTGAGGTGTGTCAGGTGTAACTCAGGTGTGTCAGGTGTAACTCAGGTGTAACTCAGGTGTTATAGCTGTAACTCAGGTGTAACTCAGGTGTGTCAGGTGTAACTCAGGTGTGTCAGGTGTAACTCAGGTGTGTTTTCAGTAAGTCAGGTGTGTCAGATGTAACTCAGGTGTAACTCAGGTGTGTCAGGTGTAACTCAAGTGTAACTCAGGTGTAACTCAGGTGTGTCAGGTGTAACTCAGGTGTTATAGCTGTAACTCAGGTGTAACTCAGGTGTGTCAGGTGTAACTCAGGTGTGTCAGGTGTAACTCAGGTGTAACTCAGGTGTGTCAGGTGTAACTCAGGTGTGTCAGGTGTAACTCAGGTGTGTTTTCA